ACTCCGGGCCATCCAGCCTAGCTCTTTCCATTTCATATGTGCAGCGCCGTCGCCAGAGGGCCCAAAGCACCGCCCTGCGGCCTACTTTAAACAAATTGCTTGTGAAATCATCTATCCGGTGCGTAGATAGGACTTCACATAGCAAGGCTTTCCAATCCCAGGGCCACTGGATCAGGGTCTCTAGTTGGCCCCATATTCTGTCCCACCATCTCGACAACCACACTGCACCTGGGCATTGAAGGAATATGTGTTCTATTGTTTCAGGTATTTTCCTGGGAGGGAATGCGTCGGTGCAGAGCCTTCACCAAGGAAGGGTTTGTCCTCTCTGTTCCAGGTTCGTTTTGTCTATTAACCAATCATTTGTCGGCAGGCAGCGGTGTTCAATCTGCCATTGCAGTGAGGCAAATTTTGCTGGTTTTTCCTTGATCAGTCCGAACAACAGCGATTTCGTCAAAATGGACATTTTATATTTTTTGAACGAAATTGAAATTGTCATTTTTTAGATGATTGAAGTGCAAAAACCATTACAAATGGGCGTTCTGGTGTGAGGGAAAAGGGGTAAGGTATAAGGGGTAAGGTATAAGGGGTAAGGTGTAAGGTGTAAGGTGTAGGGGGGTAAGGTGTAAGGTGTATGGGGTAAGGTGTACGGTGTAAGGTACCATGTAAGGGCAAGTGACACAGTGCACCGAGGAATAATTAACACCTTATATACATTGTTTTTTGTCAAGCGCCATCTCGTGCCAACCACGTCCGCCCCCTTCACAATCATACTATAGAATATCACATACGCACTMCTCACGAGYCACTAGGTCCAATGYCATCCGACGACGTATCGCGGGTATGTCATCTGCGGTGAAACAGAAAGGCGGAAGTTGGCCCCGTGCCAAAAGTGACGCGTACGTGAGTACAAAGACCCCACATTCGGTCGTGTCATGTTGTTTTGGAATGCCCTCTAAATTCCATATGTGATTGAATGGTCTCGTGTCTACCTCTTTGCCTTGCACTTTCGATCTTTCGAATAAAACCTTTGCAAACCCGCCGGTCACTTTTAACGCGAACTCCTTGTCGGGGTCGAGGGGGTCATAAAATTCGAATTTCCTCCTCCTTAAGTCAGCCACGACCAAGGTCCAGTGGTCCTGGTGTGCGATATGGAAAGGAGCAATCATCAGATCCATGTCACTTATAATTACATCCTGGTACCAGCGTTCTACCTCTCCGCCTCTATATCTCATGTCATTATCGAAAATTTTGACAAAAAAAAACGAGCTCAGCACTGATACTCTGGGAATGCGACCGTTTTCTTCTCTAATGACTATCTCATTATCCGCGTCGCATTCTACGTGCTGTATTCTACAACAGTTGTCTAATGCTACGAGGTCGAGATAAAAGTTGATCACGTTGTCGTTTAACCACTGTTGTTTGACGACGAGTAAAAGAACATCGGTGCGAGTGAGTTGTAACACTTCGTTATTGTGCGCATCTTGTGTGCTGACATCGGGGTACCTATTCCCGTATTCGCGAATGATATGCGCTAGTGCTTCCATCTCCCTCTCCGATAAAGACGAAGTTGCGAGATGCATTGTCCATCCTCTTTTGCACAATCTTGTATCCGTTGTTGTCATTTGTACTGCACACCACAGACAATGAGGAAGAGGACATTCACGCGGGCGGACGGGGCAAGTATTGTGAGTGCATGGCCAAACGCTTTATGAGAGCTGATGCATGCAAGGCATGTTTTCATTATTTCTCTAATATTTTACTTGTACGAACGTCATTCACATATGCTGTCATTCATTCCTCGCATCGATCGACCACCCTAAACACGCGTCCATGTCGCAACTAGAGATAAATAGATAGATAGATAGATAGATAGATAGAGAGATAGATAGATAGATAGATAGATAGATAGATAGAGAGAGAGAGAGAGAGAGAGAGAGAGAGAGA